GGGAGCAGCGGCGCGGCCGCGCCGGCGCCCTGCGCGCCGGCTGGCGAGCCCAGCGCCGCGCCGGGCGTCGCGCCGCCCGGCAAGACGTGCGGCGTCGCGGCGCTGCCGGGGGTTGGCGGGTGCGTCGGCTGCTGCTGCTGCTGCTGCTGCTGCTGCTGCTGCTGCTGCTGCTGCTGCTGCTGCTGCTCGTGCTCCTGCTGCTGCTGCTGCTGCTGCGGCGGCACGACAATGCCCGACAGCTGGCGGAGGCCGATCGGCATGCCGGTGCGGTTGAACACCCACAGCCCGCAGCTGACGCGCACGCTCAGCGTCCCGCCGGGCGCCGCGCCCGACCATGACACCTGCAGCACCTCGGACGGCTGGTCGAGCGCCGTCGGCGCGACCACCACGCCGCGAGACCCCTCCCGCTCGTCGCCGCCGGCGCCGCCGCCGCCGGGCGGCTCGTTGGACGGCCCTTGAAGCGCGGCGGCCCCAGCGCCAGGCAGCGAGATCCAAGGCGTCGGGTGGAAGCCGAGCGGTCGGATCTGCAGCCTCTGGTAGAGATGCGGCTCGAGATCGTACAGCCGCAGCTGCTGGCCGGGCTGAATCGTCGCCTCGGTGATCCGCGCCTCGCCGCCGCCCGCGTGCGGCGCGCCGCCCGCGCGGCCGCCGCCGCCGCCGGCGCCGAGGGCGACGGTCAGCGGCACCGGCAGCTGGTTGGTCAGCACGACCGGCGGCGAGACGCGCAGGCGCCACAGCGCGCACAGCGGCTGCGAGGACGCCCGGCCGGGCGGGGCGCCGCGCGTGCGGCCGGCACCCGGCGTCAGCGCGCTGGGCGGGCCATCTCTGAGCCACGCGGGCTGTGGCACCGCCGCATGCAGGGAGCCGTCGCACCCGGCGGCGGGGCCCAGCGATGCCGCTGCGTCAGCGCTTGCCTCTAGCGGCGCGGCGGCAACACACACCAGCAGCGGCGCCCCGGCGCGCCCGGCGCGGTGCTGCGGCGTCGCGGGCTGCGAGCCGCCCGCGTCGCTGCCGGTGAGCTGGCTGCTTGCACTGAAGGCGCCGGTGCTGCCGTGGCCCGCACCGCGCGCGCGCCGCATGCTGAACGGCGCCGGCGCGAGGTGCTGCAACTGATGGTGGTGCGGCTGCCCAGATGCGTCTAAAAAGTAGTGATGCAGCTCAGCATAGCTGCTGTTGTGGCTAGCCGCGCCGGCGCCGCCCGCGGTGGGGCCGCCGAGGGTGGCGCCTGCGGGCGGGAACAGGACGGTGCGGGCCAGCGGCCGCTGCTGCGGTGCGGTCGGCGGGCAGTACCAAAACGCGGCGCGGTTGCCGACGGCGTCAGCGGCCGGCAGCAGCAGGGACGGCACGTCGATAGCGCGAGACCAGCCGTACAGTTCCTGCTGCTGCTGCTGCTGCTGCTGCTGCTGCTGCTGCTGCTGCTGCTGCTGCTGCTGCTGTTGCTGCAAAGCTGGCCCGTCATACTCTTGCTGCTGGAGGTCGGCGCCGCTGCCATGCCCCCTGCCGCCGCTGCCGAGCGGCGCCGGCCGCAGGCAGAGGGCGGGGGCCGCGGCCGTCGCCAGGTGCAGGGGCAGCCATGACACCGCGCCGGGCGTGAGCAGCGCAATGGGCTGCGGCTCCAGGGCGGGCAGGGACAGGGCGCCGATTTGCAGGGGCACGCCGGTGTCGTTAGACACCTGGACGCATGAGTGTACAGACAGCAGCAGGGATCCGTATTTGTAAGGCTGCACGTCGCAGACCAGGGTTGGAGGCCTGCGGGGAAGTGAGGGTTGGGGTGGCAGAGGGGCAGGGACGCGGGCAGGGTGGCAAGGGGCTCAGGCGGACGGGGGAAGCCTCAGGGTTTGATGTGGATGCAAAAAGCACCAATCCCGCGTAAACACAGGCCGGCAACCCAGGGGACCGGCGAAGCGGGGATGGATCAAGGGTCCAGGGGTTAGGGTGGGGGTGTGGGTGCGGCTGCGCCCAGTCACCCCATGCGGCCCACCTCAAGCTGCCGCCGCCCTCCGCCCCCTGCAGCACGTGCAGGCTGGTGCCGTGCCGCCGCAGCGACACCGGCCCGAACACGCCCCGCTGCCCTTGCAGCTGCAGGAACAGCTGCAAGCCGCCGCCAGCGCCAAATCCCGGGAACGTGTGGCTCGAAGTGTGCGCCGCTGAGCTCACGCCGCCGCCGCCGCCCCCATTGGGGCGCTCAACCCACCTGCCGCCGAAGCAGGCGGCGGCCGGGTCCCACACCTGCAGCGGAACCGCGCGCCGCGCGCCGGCGACGCCGGCCGCGCTGCCGCCCGCCGCCAGCCGCGCAGCGGCGGCCGCGGGCGTCGCAGCCGCATCCATTACAACAAAAGAAAGCACTGCGCCGGTCTCGTTCACCAGCCAGCAGCCGCCGCCGCGCGCGCCCGCTGGCGCGTCGCCGGCGGCGGCCTCGGCGCCGCCAGCAGTCGAGAAGCCTTCGAGCAGGGCGGCGGCAGCGGCGCCGGCCGCGGCGCGCGCCGCCTCGTTGGCCATGAGCCGCACCTCGGCTGCCGCCAGGATGGCGCTGGGGCAGACAGTCAACTGCAGCAGATCCTGGGACGAAAGGCTGAGGCGGGTGGCAGGGGCGCCGCCGGGCGCGGGGGCGTCCTGGGAGAGGGACGCCTGCAAAGGGGGCGGTGGGCCCGGGCAGCGGCGGGCGAGCGGCAGCTGTGGGTTCGGTTGACTGGCAGAGAGATAAAAAGAGAGCGTGGCGGGCGGAAGCCTATGGGAGGATCGCTGTTTGGACCCCCGTCGCTTAGCCTTTTGAGCGTGACACCCATCCAACAACAACGAACACCCGCAGCAGGTACGCGCGAGGCAGGCGGCAGGGCAAAACCTGGCAGGCCGTGCTCGCTCGTGTGCGTCCGCCCACCATGGCCCATCCCAGCGCACCTGGAACGCCCACGGCTCCACCGCCGGCTCCCAACCCAGCTTCTCCACGCTGTACACGTCCAGGAGGAAGCTACCCTGCAGCTGCAGCTCCAATTGCTGCCCCTCGCCGCCGCTGCTGCCGCCGTCGGTGCTGAGCTGGACGCGCAGCGGGGAGAGGGCAGCTTCGAACACAGGCACGCCCGGCGCAGCGTGGGCCAGTGCGGCACGCGCGCCTGGCGGGGCGCCAGGCTCTTCCTCGTCGCTGCTGCACAGGACCGCAACCTTGGACACGTCCGCCTCCAAGTCCAAGGCGTAATCGTCACCGGTTCCGAACAGCGCGACGCTCAACGGGACCGCCTCCCCGGGCGCGCCCGGCGGGACGGCCAGCGTGGCGGCGGCGGCGGCCTCGGCCGCCAGCGCGGCGGCCTGCGCCTCGGCGTGCGCCTGCAGGCGCAGCAGCAGCGCGAGGCGCACTGGCGAGAGCCACGCGCTGACGCTGCCGACGCGCACGGC